CCCCTTTTCCTTTTACAGTAGGACATAATATGTCAGGGATGATCCTGACCTTCATTCATTTATGAGACATTAACTGGTCATCTGTACTCTGTCAGGTGCTGATGCTAGAAATCAGGCTACTCCTGGACTTAAAATTTTCAGTTTAACAATTTAACAAGCCATATAATAAAATGTATACTCCTGGAGTGGGTTCTCTCTACTGATAGAAAAAATCAAGATAACCTTTAGAAAGGCCAAAATAAGAGCTGCAAAACCCAAGTTCTAAAGACCAAGCACTTTTTTTTTTTTTTTTTGAGTTGAGGTCTTACTCTGTTGCCCAGGCAGTGGCACAATAATCATGGCTCACCATAGCCTCAACCTCCTGAGCTCAGACAATCCTTTATCTCAGTCTCCCCAGTAACTGAGACTACAAGTACATGCCACCACACCTGGCTAATTTAAACAAATTTTTTTTGGTAGAGATGAAGTCTAGCTATATTGCCCCAGGATAGTCTCTCAAACTCCTGGGCCCAAAGGATCCTCCAACCTTAGTCTTCCAAAATGCTGAGATTACAGGCATGAGCCACCATGCCCGGCCTCCAAGCACTTTATTAATTAGTTAGTCCTGCAAAGACTCACTCTACTTGATTTCATCTTATACACATTAACAACAGATTTGGTTTTCTCAGAACATATCCTGGATGGGCCACTTACTAGCTTAATGCCTTTAGGCAAATGACTGTCTGAGCCTTGGTTTGCTCATTAGAAAAATAAGGATAAACAACTGCACTTCGAGACAGTTGTAAGGATAAGAGATAGTTATGTAACACACCAACATAGAGACTGGTATTTAGCAGAAGTACTATAAATGTGACTAATACGATAATTACACGATTTACAAGCCAATAATAAATTGATCAGAAAAAAATCAAATTACAAGGAATTAGGGGCTGGGGATAAGGGATTAAAGACAGTTCTAATAATAAATAGCTGACAGCAAGGAATGTGTCAAGAAACTACATAGACACAGAAACTCAGAAACTGAGAACTGATCCCACCAGCCTACACACTTTAGTAGCTGTTGAGGACGTTACCAATGTTTTCATAAGATGTAACAATGATGTGCTGATGTGTTTGAAGATGACATTAAGCCCTTTAAAACAGATTAAACTTTTATTCCATGTGTTTAAGAAAGATAAGCACATAATTGACTTTGGAAAGATTCCTATCAAAAGTGATTCAGCATCACACATTTAACATGTTAATATAAACTTTAATCAACTTAATTGTGATTTAGCACAACTCCAGTACCAAGCGTCTGTTATACTTAATGTGTTAATGAATGTCACAAATTTCAGAAGCATCTGGGTGTGTAATCAATCCTGGAGGATTGATTTAGGAGGCCAGTGTGGGAAGATTGCTTAAGGCCAGGAGTTCTAGACCAGCCTGGGTTACATGACAAGACCTCGTCTCTACAAAAAAATCAAAAACATTAGCCAGGCATGGTGTCAAGCACCTACAGTCCAGCTCCCAGGCTGAGGTGGAAGCGTCACCTGAGATCAGGAGGTTGGCACTGTTGTGAGCCATGATCATGCCACTATACTCCAGCCCGGGCAGTAAGACTCCGATTCAAAAAAAAAAAAAAAAAAATTCAGAAGTGATTTTTTTTCCTACTAAACACTGAAAAATATTTATAGCAAACAAATTGTGAAATATTTAAATGCAATGGCCTAAGACATTATCCATTTCTTAAATAGCTGTTTTGGTCTCCCTCATTGCTAAATGTTTTTATATCTACCAAAGAGACATAAACATGTGCCATGGAGTCCCCTTTCCACTTGAATTTTCTCCCAACAGTTCTAAAGCAGTAAAAAGCAAAAAACATCTGTTCCTTCCTACAGAGCTGACAACCCTCATTATACGGTTTAAAAATAAAAGATGCTTATGGAAACTTATAGATACAATGATCAACTGCTTTAAAGGCAGCTGGCAATTAATTGATCCAAATATATGCCAAATGAAGTCCCCAAAAGCAATTTCCCTAAGGATAATGCTAGTGTTCCCCAAGTCTCGGATAATTTCCAAGACACCCATTAAACAAAAAACAGCAGAGGATAGTAAAGAAGCAAATGTAATGCCAGATGACAAGAAGAGTCAAACAGAGGCTTGTGTCAATCTGGATTCACTCTGCCACCATAATAACAGCTTCCATGAAAGCTAACTAGAAAAAAGCTGGTTCACTCTGGCCAACAATCACCCTTCATCCAAAGCCCAAAGAAGGCCAGATGTTCAACCATTAAAGGAGTGTACCTTATTAAAAACAGAAGCTGGAACATTTCATAAGTAAAGGCCCTAAATTCTCTAACACTTTTTAGAAACAGTTTTTACTCTATATATTGTCTTAAAGCATTGAACTTTCAAACATGAGTAATAAGAGAGGACATTCAGACTTGACTCACAGATTCAGCTTCTATTTCTGGCTCTGGCTCTGAATGAATCACAGTGTGACCTTGAGAAAGTTATTTCACTTCTTTCTCTACCTCCATTTCCCCACCAGTTAAACCTACCAATTCTTCTTTTCTAACAATGCTGAGTGAACAACATAAACATATGGAGGCTTATACACAAAAATATACCTGCTGATCACTGACCCGCTATATCCAACCATCAAATACAAAGTAGGTGGATGTCCATACTAAAAATGACTGACTCTGCACTTTTACTCTGCACAGTGAAAAATCTGCCTGGAGAAATAAACAAAACATAAGTGCCTTCCAAACAGGGCTCCTTTAAGGGTTCCAAATTTCAAATAGTTAGCAAATTAAAATAGAATGCAAGTTTCCAAAAGACAGGTTTCATTTGTTTGTTTGTTTAAAGGAAAACCTTCAACCTAGTTAGGGTTTTATGATCTTTCAGAATTGTTCACCTTCCTCTGACAAGTCCTCCTCCCTCATTCACTTCCAAGGAGATAACCCACCTCATTTGTGATGCTCCCAGCACACTGTTCTGCAGATAGATAGATAGACGGATAGATTGGATGGATGGATGGATGGATGGATGGATGGATGGATGGATGGATGGATGGACGGACGGACAGACAATCCTCGCTCAGTGCTATTTCACGTCTTTTCCTCATTTAGTCAAAGAACCTTAGAAAAGCAGATTTTAGTAGCATTTAGTAGTTTTATGCATCACCCATCATCTGGTATAGTGCCCAGTATATGCATGGTATATATGTACACACACACACAGACACCTACCTACATGCACTCATATCCAGATGAGTGTATATACACATTTATATTTTAAAAATGAATGAATAAATTTCCAAAGTCTTATGCTACCAGGAATAGCAATCATTAATGTCAATGGTTGATAATCATAGTTATGATATTATTTGTATTTTCAGAAAAATACATGAATGAATCTTACCTAGCTAAAGAAAAAAATACATGATTTCTCATTAACATTAAATTCACAAAAATTAACTCAAGAACTTTGCGATCTTTTTTCTTTACAAAAATGGTCTTTTTGTTGTTTTGCATTTTATTATTTTATCTAGTGGGTATAAAAGTACAAGCATTCCTTTTAACTGAATCTATACAATAATGAGACAAGTAGAAAAAAAAGTGGGGAAAAAAAAGAAAGAGCATGGGGAATGAATAGAAGAAATTAGTTTTAAGTATCAGATTCTATAAAAGCAAAGTGAAAGACAGCCCATAGATGAAAAATAAAAATATGGTCAATAAAAATAGCTACTACAACATTAACAGCATTTAGTCAATTAAAAAGTAGCTGTCCTCGTTGAGAAATTTCATCTAAGTAATGTCTTATAGACAACCTATTTGTTAAAATAACAGAAGATAATAATAGTTGTACATATTTTTAGTGTGAAAAAAAGAACACAAGATTTAAAAATGTCCACACTGCACTTGAAATCTTCAATCATTCAAATATTTATCACAAATCTACAAGTAATCACACGAATATTCATGTTTCCACAGTCATTAAATTCTAACAGTCTATATCATTAAAAAATTATGAGTAGGTGTTAAGTAAACACAAAACAAACTAACACTCTACGGTGGACTCTTAAGGTAAAGCCTCCAGACCTATAAGCCTGTAAGCAAGGATAAACTCATTACACTACTCAACACTGACCACAGTAAACTAACGCTTTAGCTGTACTTCATGCTGCCCTGAATATGAGAGTCAATAATCAATGCTAAGAAGGAGAGGTATCCCTTGGATCAGATGTGCTTTTGGCCTTCTCACCTTCACTATCTTCAAACAACAATCTGGTCTGACTGGAATATGAAACCGAAGGAAAATTATTCTTAATACCCTAACTTATTGATTTTCTAATAGCATGTATTATATTTGCTTGTATCAGCAAACAGGAGTGACCACATAACTCCACGAAGTAGTAGAACCCAGACTGCAGCAAAATAGAAACTCCCATATTACACATATAGGTGTATGTACATACACACACACACATACACACATATATTAGAACAACCAGAGACTGCCTTTGGATAGAACCAGAATAAGTGATTTGTGCCTCCAAAACGGACCCTTGTGATAAGACAATTTTTAAAAAATCGTTTATTTTAACACTGTGGTGATGAGAAAGGAAAGAGAAGAATGACAGTCTAGCTAACAGCAGAATCGGAGTTCATCTCACTGGCATGACCCTGAATGTCAAGAACAGCAGATATTTTGATTGAACGCGTTAGAGAGCAACCTTTTCTTGAGATGACTCAGAACAGACAAAACTAAGTCGTTCCCTTTAAGACCTCGTAAGAAATCAGAAAACCAAAATACACGTTCGCGCGTTTCACTGGGGGGCAGGGGGGCGTTGAAACGGGCGGCAAAGGATCCCCTCGGGAGAAGAGACGTGCCCCTTGCGCAGCTCCTAGCAGGTCACCGCCTTTGGCGCCCAGGGAGGGCGGGTGACACGGAAGGCCCTGATTGGCAGGCGGCTTGCGACCTGGAGGCCGGCAGCAGGGCGCGCTCACCTGTGAACACGTTCTGGAAGCCATCCGCAGCCGCGGGCGCCCCAGACGCCTTGGCGGCCAGGGCCGGGGCCACCCCACCGCCGCCGGCCGGGGCCACCCCGCGCTCCGGCCGGGGCGCGCGGGCGCCCAGCTCCTCCGTCCAGTCCGCAGAGCGGCTGAGGCCACCCGCGAGGCCGCCGTCCGCCCGGTGCTTTTTGGCCGGCGCGGCTGCAGCGGCCAGGGCAGTCCTGGGCCCGCGACTCCCGGAGGACTCCAGCCGCCTCTTGATCCTGGGGCTCTGGTCAGGGGA